GGAAACAGTGTGGAAGAAACAGAGTGCGGGAAACAGAGGGGCTGAAACAGAGGGGCTGAAACAGAGTGCAAGAAACAGAGTGCAAGAAACAGATGTACTGAAGTAGAGGGGCTGAAAAAGAGTTTGAGAAACAGAGGGCGATAAACACAGGGGCTGAAACAGAGTGCGAGAAGCAGAGGGGCTGATACAGAGGGGCTGAAACAGAGTGCGAGAAACAGTGACCGAGGAACAGTGTGCGAGAAACTGAGTGTGAGAAACAGATTGCGAGACACAGAGAATGAGAAACAGAGTGCGATAAACAGTGTGGCTGAAACAGAAGGACTGAAACAGAGTGTGAGAAACAGAGTGTAAGAAGCAAAGTGGGCAAAAAAGAAGAGCTGTAACAGAGGGGCTGAAACAATGGGCCTGAAACAGAGCACAAGAAACAGAGTGCGAGAAACAGAGTGTGAGAAACAGAGTGCGAGAAAAAGAGGGGCTGAAACAGAGGAGCTGAAAAAGAAGTGCTGAAACAGAGTGTGAGAAAAAGACTGTGAGAAACAGTGGGGCTGAAACAGAGGTGCTAAAACAGAGGGGGTGGAACACAGACCGAGTAACAGAGGGTCTGAAACAGAAAGGCTGAAACTGAGTGTGACTAAACAGAGTGTGAGAAACAGAGTGTGAGAAACAGAGTGCAACAAAAAGAGTGAGAGAAACAGAGGGGCTGAAACAGTACGCAAGAAACAGAGAGCCTGAATCAGAGGGGCTGAAACAGAGTGTGGCAAACAGAGTGCGAGAAACAGAGGGGCTGAAACAGAGTGTGAAAAACAGAGTGTGAGAAACAGAGTGCTAGAAACAGAGGGGCTGAAACAGAGTGCAAGGAACAGAGTGCGAGAAACCGCTGCAGAAACAGAGCTGCAGAAACAGATTTGAAAAACAGTATTCCAGAAACTGAGGATTAGAAACAGAGGGAGAGGAACAATGTATGAGAAACAGAGCACGAGAAACAGAGAGACGAAAACAGAGGATGAGAAACAGATGGGCAGAAGCAGACAGAGAGAACCAGGAGGGTGTAAATCAGAGCAGCAGAAACAGAGCAGTGAGAGCGAGGACCAGGGGGCTGCCATGGAGGTAAGTTCCCCAGTTAAAAGCTTACCGCGTGCAATCAGCAGCCTCCATTTTTTGTCGCAGCAGCAGCAGCGGGAACAACGAGAGCGAGGACCAGGGGCCTGCCAGGAAGGTAAGTTCTTCATTTCAGCAGTGGGGCTGAATGGGAGCAGTCGAATTGTGCTCTCAGAAGGTGAGTGAACTGATGTATCTGGGCAGTGGCTAAACCCGAGGCAAGACATGTGTAGTGTTTCCCACCCACCCTCCTCTTCTAACCAAATAAAAAGACTCTGTGGTGTGTCGATAAGGTAAGTGTTTTTCTTTTTCTTTTTTTTATCGTGTGCTGCTAAATTGAGTCATTTGGTACAATTTTTTTCATTTCATTTATCTAGTATTTGATATTATAGCAGGACTAAGTTAAGCTTAAGAGTAAAAATGGCAGGAGATCCCAGACCTGTGTTATGCTCCTCTTGCTCAATGTGGGAGCTCAGGGACGTGGCTGATGTCCCTGAATCCTACACGTGCAGGAAGTGTGTCCAGCTGCAGCTCTTGTTAGACCGCATGACGGCTCTGGAGCTGCGGATGGACTCACTTTGGAGCATCCGCGATGCTGAGGAAGTCATGGATAGCACGTTTAGTAAATTGGTGTCACCGCAGATTAGGATCGCTGAGGGAGAAAGGGAATGGGTGACCAAAGGCAGAGAAAAAGCAGGAAGGCAGTGCAACTGTCCCCTGCAGTCATCTCCCTCCAAAACAGGTATACCGTTTTGGATACTGTTGGGGGAGATGGCTCACCAGGGGAAGGCAGCAGTAGCCAGGTCCATGGCACCATGGCTAGCTCTGCTGTACAGAAGGGCGGGAAAAAGAGTGGAAGGGCTATAGTCATAGGGGATTCGATTGTAAGGGGAGTATATAGGTGGTTCTGTGGCCGAAAACAAGACTCCCAAATGGTATGTTGCCTCCCAGGTGCACGGGTCAGGGATGTCTCAGATCGACTGCAGGAAATTCTGAAGGGAGAGGGTGAACAGCCAGCTGTCATGGTGCATATAGGCACCAATGATATGGGTAATAAATGGGATGAGGTCCTACAAGCAGAATTTAGGAAGTTAGGAGCCAAGTTAAAAAGTAGGACCTCAGAGGTAGTAATCTCAGGATTGCTACCAGTGCCACGTGCTAGTCAGAGTAGAAATGAAAGAATAGGAAGGATAAATGATTGGCTTGAGAGATGGTGCAGGAGGGAGGGGTTCAGATTTATTGGACATTGGGACCGATTCTGGGGGAGGTGGGGCTATTACAAATCAGACGGTCTACACCTGGGCATGACTGGAACCAAGGTCCTAGGGGCTGCTTTTGCTAACGTTGCTGGGGAGGGTTTAAACTAATGTGGCAAGGGGATGGGAACCAAATGAGAAAGCTATTGGACAATAAGGAGGTAGTAACTAAAGCCTGTAAGGAACTAGATAATGAAGTCAGTGTGACTAAGGGGAAGAGTAGGCAGAGAGTAGATGATGAACGCAAAGGGACAGGTGGTCTGAGGTGCATTTGTTTTCACGCGAGAAGTGCAGTAGGTAAGGCAAATGAACTTACCTGGGAGTATGATGTTATTGCTATTACTGAGACTTGGTTGAGGGAAGGGCAAGATTGGCAACTAAATATCCCACAATATAAATGCTTCCGGCAGGATAGAGAGGGAGGTAAAAGGGGACGAGGAGTTGCATTACTGATCAAAGAGGATATCACAGCTGTGCTGAAGGAGGGCACTATGGAAGACTCGAGCAGTGAGGCAATATGGGTAGAGCTCAGAAATAGGAAGGGTGCAGTAACAATGTTGGGGCTGGACAACAGGCCTCCCAATAGGGAGCGTGAGATAGAGGTACAAATATGTAGACAGATTATGGAAAGATGTGGGAGTAACAGGGTGGTGGTGATGGGAGATTTTAATTTTCCCAACATTGACTGGGATTCACTTAATGTTAGGGGTTTAGATGGAGCAGAATTTGTAAGGAGCATTCAGGAGGGTTTTCTCAAGCAGTATGTAAATAGTCATAATCATAAAGGGGACATATTGGACCTGGTGTTGGGGAATGAGCCCGGCTCGGTGGTTAAAGTTTCAGTAGGGGATTACTTTGGGAATAGCGATCACAATTCCGTAAGTTTTAGAATATTCATGGACAATGACAAGAGTGGTCCTAAAGGAGGAGTGTTAAATTGTGGGAAGGCCAATTATAGCAAAATTTGACAGGAGCTGGGGAATGTGGATTGGGAGCAGCTGTTTGAGGGTAAATCCGCATTTAATATGTGGGAGGCTTTTAAAGAGAGGTTGATTAGAGTGCAGGACAGACATGTCCCTGTGAAAATAAGGGATAA